TTTTTTTTTTATCTTATCGAGCTTTTTGTATAATCTTAACGATACCTAGGAAATCCCATAACTTTTAAGTTTTTTTTTTATTTTCTAGGAAGACTATGATTAATTGTAGGCTAAAATTCAGCTTATTTTTGCCTTAAGCCTACCAATAATATGATTGTATACTTATTAAGGTGCTTATTTTTCTTTTCATCGTATTACTCGAAACTAATAATAAATATACGCCGTATAAAATATACTAAGAATTTTTTCTTGTTTCTTTGCTTAGCAATGAGACACATTTTTTAAAACGAGGAACGCATTTTTTTATTATTTTCTAAATACATTTAAATTGTAACGTAGTAAGTAGTTGAGAAAAATTACTGGGCCATAAAGATTCCTCTTATTATTTCAAGTAAAAAGAAGTAATCTATGCAAAAAATGTTAAAGACAACTTTTAAAAGAACACTGTATTAAAGTTGTGCCTGATAATTATCAAAAGCCATTTATGAACTCTTGAATTAACATCAATAAAAAAACGGTAATCGTTTTAATTTATTTAAAAAGTCGAAAATCTATTTTTTGCATTTGTAAACTAAAAATTAGAGCCCGTATTTATTCACAACATGTGTATTGAAGAACTTTTTCCAAATCTTTTTTTCTATTTTTCTAATAATCGTCAAAAGAAAAAAAAATTACTAGGTTACAATTTATTTGTTTGAATAATAATGATCAATATTTACCTAGCAACAATATCAGAGACTTTTAAAGGACAAAACTTATCCTGACGATGCTATTATCACAGGCAATTTCAATATAACTCTGCTAACCATGACTACTAAATATTTCTTCAGAATTATTTTAAATTTCCGGTATTTAATATATAAAAATTAAACTTCCTAGTGATATTTAGAGGATTACGACTGGTTAGCTAAGTGTAAATAGGCTTTGCATTGATAATATAATTCCATGTATAAACTATACTTTGCTTGGGATATTTTTCAAAAAGTTGAAAAAAGTCTGATTGTAACACATAGATCGTCACCAACTTATGTTTTTATAGTTCAAAAAACTTTAATAAATATCTAGAAACATATCAATATGAAATATATAGAGTTATATTAATATTTTACAATATATTGACATATATATGTATAATGTATAATACTTTGTACATTTTTATGTACGTGTATATGTATAGGAAAATTATAGAAATGTTTCTATGCAATGCATATCTATGTGTTTTATCAGACATATTTTTCGTAAGTTTTTTTCGACTCCACTCGTAAACTGTTTTTTGATCTTTCATGTGGTTTATATTTTAATAGAATTTTCGTTACGATGAAATGCAATTAAATCACTGATGTAAACTGGATCAATGACTTTGCGTTTCTGTATATTATTGTATAATTTTTTAAAACTTTGATATTATTTTAGCAACTTTTATCAAGTTGTTTTGTGTTATATCGTTAATAAATGTGCTTAAAATATATTAATGGCAAGAAAGTGAAGTTTTGCGATTTGCATTGTAGATACGAAATTAACTTATTTGTAGAAGAATCGCCTGATGTTGAGCAAAGTTATCTTCTATATATATATACTCAAATTGAATCAAATATTAAGGCTGATCATGTAAACAACCCTACAAAATATGTATATTTCTATATGTATATATATAAACTTTACTTGCNTGAATTTAAATCTATGATAAAAATGTATCAAGAAAAAATTGTGTGTACATAATTCATACGAAAAAACTCGTGAATTATAACTGATAAACAAAAACATACCTTGATTACCCAAGGAATTTCCAAGTTTTGCTAAGGCTTGCAGATTATTAATAGCATGACTAGTTGAGCTAAGGTCACCAGCAAAAAGATCAGCAAGAGTAAAGGACGGAGTTGGGCTGGGATTAGCGCTTGGTCCTACGACTCCCGTGTCACCCGAAATATCGACTTTTTCAGCAAGGCTTGCCAATTGCTGAAGATTGTACTCTTGAATGCTGGTAAGACCATGCATGGGACCTGAAGGAATGGAGACTGGAATAGACGGTGGGGGAGGAGGAATATTTGGACTCGACACAGGGGGAATCACAGAGTAAGTTGGATCACCTTCAAACGAAGATTGCATTGACGTTGGGAGTGAAATAGGTGAGCTCGCACTCAGTGAATTTGAACAATTCATAGGTGCCTGATTTACTGGCTGACTGGTAAGTCCAGGTAGACTATCAACGTTTCCCATTGGTGATTGTACAAGCGGTGGATGATTTCCAGCACAGACTTTTCCATACGCCTCCTGAGAGAGTAAGTTATTACTGTATAAATGGGCTGTAATAATATCAGAATACTCAATGAGTCATAACATATGATCTTACCCCAATTTTTTTCTCAAAATTATTGTAATCTGTCTGGAATTCTATAGATGACGACATGTTTGGTTTTGGCATGGTTTTCAATAAATCGGAGAGCTGATTAGTTACTATTCTATGAAGAGATAAAACCTCTATTGCATCTCCATGTTCAAGAAGACGATTAGTAAATTGACATGCACACTCAATTTTTTCAACAGTTTTTTCAATGCTAAAAACAAATGATTGACAATTATTTAATTGTTCCATTATTTTCAATTGTCAAGTTTTACGCATACCTATGAAATGAGTCCATTATCTCCAGTTCTCTCTCAGAATGTACTTTTTCTAGATCATCAAGAGCTTTATCTCTGTATTTTTCAAGAATCGCTTTGTAGCTTTGGAAAGTTTCCAGAATCAAATCTTTGGCTTGGTCACGTTGAGCTTGCAACTCACTCAGAGCATTTTCAAGCTGAGAAGATATATGATCACAATCACCTATTCTAGCTTTACTTTCATTTACTAAATTAACTAATTCTTCCTTTTGACGTGGTTCTGCATCTTTTATACGTTCATATTGATGTTCAGGTGCCTTGTGCTCAATGAGTAAGCACTCATTACAAATCGGAACCTGAAAAATTTATAAAAAAAAATTTATCTTGCAATTAAAAACTCCTCATCATAAATATTTCTATAATGATTTGGATTTCGAATTTAATGAGCTTTGGTAGCGAGATCTTTACTCTCCCTAGCTGTCATAGATTTAAAGCAAGAGCTAGTCAACATGCCACCCAACTTGTATTTAATCTGTTCATTATCAGTACACAATCGATTAATTAGGCAAAGGATTCGCGACTTGATGTTTACGTGAAATTTGCATTACATCATTGAAACAAACGTTTTAAAACACCATTATAGTTGAATCTTCTTACCTGGCATGTGTAACAATAAAACTTCATATTCTCCGATGGATGAGATTCACAAAAAATGGGTTTGTGAATAGGAGTTGCTTCTTCAGATCTTCTCAAGTCATCAAATCCAATGACCTTGTGATTCTCAAAGCAGCGCATAAACTGATGTGCAGTGTTACAATTTGGACATAGAAAGTTGGCACAATCGGAGCAACGAGCCACTGCATTTTCCATAGCCTTGCATGATGTACAAAGTACAGATGTATTTTTGATGGCAGACATGTCCAGAATATTTGTGAGAACGTAGTCGCAAGGTAGGGACGCTGCTCCCTTGGTGCCAACACGTGTTTCCTGCTGGCACATGGGACAGGCAATGACCATGCTTAATTTCAGTTCTCTATCCTTGGCATTGCAGTGTTCGTCAAGACAATTTTCGCAAAATACATGCAAGCAAGATAGAACACGTGGTGAGGTCAGCTTCTTGCAACAGATGCCGCAGTGATTATCATCAGCAGAGTCACCACCGCTGTAACTCATCTCCTCCAGGGAGTCCACTTGATTTCTTGAACCAAAGCTTGCACTTTTTTCCCCGTAGCTTTCGGATCCGTCGATTTCATCGCTCTTAACTGATCCGCTATGCGAGTTATTGACCGAGGTTGCGGAGCTTGTCCCATTAGGAACTGACAAAGATGTGGCAGCTGAAGATGCCATGGTTATTTCACGTCCACGTCTACTCAGCTGTGCGCACAGCTCTGAGAAAAGTCAAGTCTTGTAAAACAGACTCGATTCTGCTCCACCGTTTTTTTTTTTGTCTTCCTCTCAGTAAAAAAGAGATGTAGAGTTCATAGCACCTTGAAAAGCTACCGAAACTTGGAGCCTATACACTATAACACATACATACCAATTTTATAAAAAAAATTATCGAAAGACGCGTTGGCGAGAAAATAAAAAGCCGAACAGTGGTGCAGCAAAGAGAGAACTCGAACAGCCGTTTACCGTCGATCGAATGTCAATCAAAAGAAAACTAAAACAAGACAAGAAGGATACTTGAATAACAAAAGAAGAACTTGGTCCGGTTTCCGGAAAAATAGTCGACTAGCGCAAGAACGGTGTAGTATATATAGTAGTAAGTATCCTTATCGCGTGTGTCGTGTGGTCGTGTGTGACAACGGGCATGATATTGATACCTATAGGTGTGTGGTGAGAGGGGTGGTGGGCGGCTGCTGCTGCGGGCGGTTCGGACGGTCGGACCTACCTCTCGGGGTAGCGACGAAGAAGGAGGCACTGTCGCCTGGTCGTGAGTGTGAAAAGAAAGAGAGAGTGCCAAGAAGGCACCCGTAGTCCCTGACCGTCCAAAATCCGAGCCAAAATTTATAGGTATATTGCAAAATTCACTTCCTAGTAGAAATGGGGAAAAAAAATTCTTGGTAATGGAGAGTACTCAATATTATGGCAAAATTGCGTCCTCTTGAGAGGAAGAGAGATGGAGAGAGACAGACAATTGAAGAGCGTTGCTTAGCTAGTTCGAGTAATAACTATGTGCGAGCTTGTTGAGTCGAGGAACAAAATTTTTTTCTTTTTCTTTTTTCTTTTCTTTCAGGTAAAAAAAAATATATTTGAGTGTATATTATTGACTTATGCTCGCACTTTGGGGTGGCTATGCACAACGTAACTAGTATGTTATACTTATACAGCCAATATATAAATATAAATATATAATAGGTACAGACGATGACGAGGGATGGAAACAAAAATTAAAAAAGGCACTCGCGTCACTCTTTCCCTTCGTCGGTCGGCGTGTGCGTGTGTACCACTGTACCCTTACCCTGTACTCCCTTGTATAGTGACACGTAATGAACGTGATAACTGATACTACTTACAGTATACTAAGTACTGCTGTATAAAATATAGGAGTACCATGTTATACATGTAAATATCTTGTGTACACCCACGTCGTTCTATGGAGTGAAATAGGTGAGCTCGCACTCAGTGAATTTGAACAATTCATAGGTGCCTGATTTACTGGCTGACTGGTAAGTCCCGTATATTTCTATATGTATATATATAAATATATATACACGTGTTTCTTGTGTATACGTAACTTCAGAGAAATTGTCTTTTTCTTTATTTTGAGTAATCATTGTAATATTTACATAAAATAGAAGTCAGTTAGCAAATGCTTACTTTTTAAAACTGTTTTTGCTCTAATGTTCTCATTTGTAATTTTTTTCAGTTTGAACACACATACCACAAAAATACTCATAAAGTTTGTCTTTATTTTTGTCAGGCATATTATCTGTACGTATTGTGTGTTCAACTCTTTTTATGATATTATAACCGTTTCACGACACAAATCATGAACAAAAATTGTTCAAAAACTGGTAATTTCAACAGTACATATTGATGAAAAAGATTTAAATCTTTCGTAAACAAAAATCTTTTTTCAACGTATACACACTCACTGCCTTTTTATTTTAACTTGTCTATTCTTTTTTGTTGATCTTTTTTTTAATATAAATCCCTCTATGGCTCTTTTCATTTTTTTGTCAATAATCAATTCAGTTCGACTTACTTATTGGAGCAAAAACATACAAGTATAAAGNCTTGAAAACGTATTTGGGTAGCTGTTCTGAAACTGTTAAAATTTCGAAAAAGCTGAATTACTACCTCAAAAATTTTTTTTAAATAAAAAAAATACCGAAACTGTGATAGTGTATTTAATTAAGCTAAGTCCAGTGCTGACAAAGACAAACATTTTGAGGTGATAGAGTAATTAAAGCTTTAGATTCATGTTAAGCATTCTCCAAACACTAGACACGTTAAACTATTTTCATCGATTTTACTTTATTTATTGTAGTTCTGGGTGGTAAGGATTATTTTAATAAGTATAAATGGTACGATTTAATTTTCTTGTCAAACAGATTCTTCCACCATTAAAAGATGTCACGAAACGTCCTGAAGAGGGATCAACTTTAAGAAATAAACTGTGTCAATTACTTACCAGCCCTGTAACAGAAATAAAAAATCTTGTTGCGGAATTTTTATTCGTTCTATGTAAAGAAAAGGGTATAAGAATATTTCAGAATAATAAATTACTTGAAACGTAGAAAGAAAATTACTATTATACTCAACTTTCTAGTTGGTAGAATGATTAAGTATACGGGATATGGAAATGCAGCTGGAATGTTTGCAACAAAAGGTCTGATGGGACCAGAACATGCTAAAATTGATTATTCATCTGAATCTGAGGACAGTCAAACTGAAGAATATGAAAAAGTGAAACACCAGTAAGAGAAAAAAAAAATACATGTAATTTTATGAAATAAGTCTAATTAATAAGGTTGATTTAATTTTTTAGAGTCAATCCAGTGACAGGTTGTTACGAAAGTCCAAAGAAAAATCCTTTAGATGGAATGACCGAGGAGCAAAAAGAATATGAGGCAATAAAATTAGTACACCTTGTAGATCAATTACAAAGGTATATTTAACTTGAATACGCTAATTTTAAATTGCATAAGCAAATTAAAAAATATTATTCAAGGGATGGAGTGATTCAGCCATGTCGTATAGGAGAAGATGGGAAGCCAAAACCTATTGAACATGTGCTAGAACTAGAAGAGCATTTACCTCGTCAACAATTCCGGAAACAAGATTCAGATTCTGATTAATGTGATATTATTTACTTGCTGATTGGGCATACATTTTTAAATCATACATCGGTGTTGTTTTATATAGTTTAATGTAGACTTAACATTTTACATATTATATAAAATGTATTGAATGTGTATAGATTCATTTTTAAAATAAATGTAAGTATTTCAAAAAATTAAATGAACTATTAAAAAATTTATTAAATGACAAGTACAGGAATGGTTTTGATTTTTTTTTATTTTTTTTTTATTGAAAAAGAACATGAAACAACATTACATAGTAAACAATTGTCAGGAAATAAAAAATATAACAATTTCCAAAATCACATTTCATTCTTAAATCTTAAACGATTCACCTACCACACATCGATGTGCTTTGTGAGCATCACAATGTATGTATATTAATATTATTGCATTGTAACTTATGTGCACACGAAAACACGTGACGCCTTCCCTTGGAGCTTCCTTTTTTCTTCAAAAAATTGATAAGTTAATTGTTAAAAGAAATGGTACGCTGACAATGGTGAAAATTGTTTATTTTTTTCAATGTATAATACAAAACAAATTCTTAATAAACAAAACAAAAGAAAAAAAGAGTTTTTAGTGTCTAATGAAAATTTTTAAAGATCAATCGATAAACGCCTAGCTGCTAAACTACTTATAATAAATTCAACAATTTGATATATACTTTAAAATGAAGATCAAAACGTATCGAAAATCTTTTTGTTTTACTTTCGTTATGTCGTAATAATTTGCGACAACAAACCGCAGAGATCAGTTGACTGGAACATGTGTATTTTGTTCATATGAATATTTTCGTTATAATTTTCCATCATTTTAAAACCATTAACTCTAGCATTTTTTTAAAGATTCAATTTGAAGCTTTTTTTTTTACTTTAAAGTGAGAGAAACATTTTATACAAGCTAGATCCACTCGTTTTAACGTTTTTCGCGTGTACTTTTGCACACATGCACTCATATATATTGTAAAAAATATCAATTCAAATAGATTGCTTTGTGTATGTTAAGTCTTTTTTCTAGTTTAGCAAAAGCTCATAGCGTTTTTCAATAACTTAATCTATACTGTGCAATCAAAATCAAGTTGTACAATAAAAAGTACATATATACAGTGGTATACCAGTGTATACACACAGTGATATGTAGTAATGTACGCTAAAGGAACTACATTAATAAAGAGCTGCGATTATTGGATCAATTTTTCTTTCGTAATTTTCAATAAGATTAAGTTGACAAACTGTAGTGTTTGAAAATATTGTATGCCTGTACTTACTATTAATTAACTACAAAACAAATTCAATGATAAGTAGAGCAAATAATAAAATGAGTTCCTTCATGGGAACGCAATAAAGTAATATCTTTTTTACTTAATGTTTTTTTACAATACACGAACGCATTTTATCTTTTCTTTATATTTGTAAATATGCATATGTATATATACATATACGTGTATTCATAAAAAAAATTATACACTTATATGTATGTATATTCTTAAAAACCACTTTTTTTACTACAGTTACAATCTAGCAATAAAATACATTTAATTTTTGTACTTGAACTGACTAATCGAGGATTAAATCGTGATCGTTCTTTCTCGGCTATTCTAATGTAAACCTAGAAACATCACACCGTTAAAAAAATAAAATAAATTGGATAAAAAAAAAGAAAAAAGTATTAACGCATTAAAATTAGTAACCATATGTAACTTTGCAACTCTGTACAGGTATCTTTTTTCTCTAAGATTACATTTTTGGCACAAAGATTTCAACTTAATGGTAATTTACAATTGAAAAAGTGTACATATACGTAAATATACATGGGATAAAGGAAAGATATTAATAAAAACGAATATTTTTATTTTTCGCAAATATTACTAAAAATTCTTATGCAAATAAACGTTCTTACATGGAAAATTTTTGTGATATTCTCACGTAAACCCTAAATGCATTTATGTAAATACAAATTAATAATCTGCAAAATGCGACTGTATATCTTGGGTTTTTTTTTTCTTTTTTTTAATTTCTTTCTAGATAAACATCAAAAACTACTTATTTCATTGACACGTCTTTTCCTTCGATTTATTTTATGATAATATTAAATATATTTTTTTATTAACACACTTTTTTAAAAGGTTTTCTTTTTGAGTATTATACCACTAATTTGTAAAAAATTTTATCAACTAATGAAAACATTTAAATGAAAATCGTGTTGAATTTTAAAGTAATCAAAGTGAATAACGGAATAACAAATTCCTTAAATACAATAACAAAGTAACAAATAAAATAATTAATATTCGTTAGGATAGATAGAAAGAAGTAAGAGGCCTATACTCTGTCAGAGGCAAACAAAATAATAATAGTAGTAATAATAATCATGACTAACACTAAGCTTCACGACAGAGCTAACTAGTAATTATTCGACTAAGTACGCTGAAAGCAGCGTTGCAAGTATTTTTTTGTCATTAGTTATTACAAGCTAAATAGAACACACAGTACTTCCTTTTCTTTTCTTTTTTTTTTCTTTTTTTTTTTTTTTTTTTTCCTTTTTTTTTTTTTTTTTTTTTTTGGTTTCT